TTTTTTTTCCCCTTCCCTTTTGTTTCTCGGAAATCCCGTTAGATTTTTTGGTGAACAGCAGGGTTTTTCAGTAGTCTAGGAATTTTGAATTAAACCACCAGTAGTACTTCCTGGAGCCTAGAGTAGAGTCCTGCCCGTTAACGCGCCACGACTTTAGGAAACGTACTGGTCACTACAGGAACGCCCAAATTCATCCGACTAGAAACGTTTCTACTCTATTTTTTTTCCGGCGGCCGATAGCTGGGCCAAGTACTGGTGGTTTCAGTAGTACTCGATCCTTTATGTACCCGCGTGAGATGGACGAGCGGGTAAATGTGTGTCTCTGCTCTTTCCGATTAAGCCAGGTCGGAAGATATGGAGCACGATTCATTGATGTGAGATAGTAGGGTTTGTTTTTGTTTGTTTTTTTCCGACGAGCGGGTGGGTTGAAAAACCGGAGGTGCGTGAGATGGTAGTTTTTTTTTTTTTGTTTTGTTTTTTTTCCCCCACCGGTAAGATTTTTTGCTAGACTATGTATGCTCGGGAGAAACTCTCAGGCCAGCGACAGTTTCACGGGAGAAAGGTGGATCCTCCTGGGACATGTAGCAGACGGGACCCCGATCTCCAAAGGGTGGGGCCACGTGGAGCAAGTGGGAAGAGCCTCGATGATGTGAAGCATCGCGAAGGATCGAAACGCGTGGCGGTTCAACGTCATCCAGAGAATCTCCTTAAAGGGAGTGTCCCCGGGTGACACGACAGTCTTCACCCGAATAGAACGCCCGGTCATTATAGCCGTGTTTGGTGCACCTTTCGGTCTAGCTACAGCAATAATGACCGGGCGTTGTATTCGGGAGAAGACTGTAGTGTCATTTCATTTCACAGATGCAAGAACGATCTATCCTTGTGTTAGCCCCCGGACGAGTCTGTTGTTAGTACGCCGACAGCGAAACGCGTCGGGGCAGTGCGTACTGGAGATAGTGAAATGAGGGGAAGAAGGCAGGAGACGCCAGATAGGAGTGAGTGATGATTTGAAGTGAAGAACGTGCATGCTTCCGTGTTTTCTCTTCAACCTTCCTCCATTACTTGGATCTCTCTCTCTCTCTCTCTCTCTCTCTCTCTCTCTCTCTCTCTCTCTCTCTCTCTCTCTCTCTCTCTC